TCTGATGCTGTAGAAGGCTCATATTCGTGTTTCAATGGCGATGATCCGCGCCTTCTCTGTCTTACATTGGTAGGACTGAGAACAGGAGTGTTCGGTAGACTCGACCCGGTGGAGCTCGGTGAACGACTGTGTGGAGGAGGTGGCGGAGGCTGCTCGTCGTTCGTTTGACTCGAGTCGGAGTTCGATCGAGAATGACCCTTGCTTTTCGAGGGGCTTCCTGGCAGACTATACGAGTCCACAGGAGCGTACTCCTCGTCGTCTGATACCGATGCCAACGACTCAGTTATGTAACTTTGACTACTGCCCTTTCTGATCTTGGGTATGCTGGGCAGGTCCATTGAGGGCACAGACGATACTCGCGGAGATACCTGGTCAATCGTGTCTCTTATGGGAGTTTTTGGAGATTGCTGCTCCATATATGGCTTCTTTTCGCGAACAACGACTGGTGAGTGAACAGGCTTCTGATCTTCGTGACGATCCCGACCTGGAGTCGCTGACGCCTGCTCTTTGTCTGACAGCGCATCTTTCTGCGGGCTTGACGGGGAGCTTTCTCCAGGTCGGTGGACTCGCTTAGCCTTCGATCGTTTCAGGCCTGCTGACGCTCTTTCATCAATTAGGGGAGTCCTGCGCGGGTCACGAGCGTGGAGTATTGATGGTGTAGATTGTGGTGTTGAAGCATAATCCGACTCGCGAGTAATTGCAGAGTAGCCAGATGACTCAATAGCTGAACTGGTCCCACAAACAGTGCTGGGTTCCGACAAGGACTCCTTAGGGGTTGAAGACCGCCGAGCGGTTCGCGATGTGGGCCTTTCTCCAATAGGTATATCCACACTTGTAGGACTAGGTGGCGCTTTTTGAGCCGGCGGTACATCGCTTGAAGGAGCCGTTTGCGCTCTTTGTCGTTGCTTTGCTCTCTCAATGAAGCTCTGGGTCCGACAGAGGGCTGGTGGTGATGGGTTCATTCCCAATAATTGAACCCATTCAAATGCGATATCCTCCTCATCGATCCGTAGCGATAACAACTCCTGCCACGCTCTCGTCTGCCCCGGAGGGCTACGCAACATGACCACAATCTCCCCCTTAAGGTCTCCATTACGCGCAGAAACGCACGTCAGGTCCATTGGAGGGAACAGCAGCCAACGATCCGCGTGGTCAATTTCACAAATTAGCAGATCCCCGCCCGCCCCGTTATCTGGGCCATTGTCTCTTAAAAGTAGCTCCGCCCGACAGTCTACGACCTGGCCTGTAGAATGATACAGAGACAGATTGAAGAAGTCACGGGCGCGGACGCGTCGAGTCTTGTCGACGGTCACATCAGCAAGGGCCCCTAGGGTCGCAGGATCACGCGCACGAGTTGAGTCGATACTGGCAGCGGATTCGTCTTCAAGTCTTGCCCGTTCCTCTCTTGCGCGGCGACGAGCTTCCATGACCAGATTCTGATAGACCGAGGTTATCTCTTCGGCTTTTGCAGACGGAGCGAGCATGTTGATGCCCTTGAAGGTCTTCGCAAGGTACTTCAGTCGCACCAGCGGTCGTTTGAGCAGATAAGCTACATCCACCTTCTCACCTTCACTGTTGACCACGTCACCATTTTCGTCTCGAGCCATTCCCTCATCCAAGCTCTTCGTATCAGCATTTTGGGCGACCTCGCCCTCTTCGAGAGGGGCCAAGTTAACGATAACGTCTCTGAAGCCTAATCGCCAGGCCCGAAGGTATTCGCGGTAGACTCGCTGAGCTCCTTGGGCCCAGGTTAGCAAGGAATCCGAGTTATCTTGCGGAATTCGCTTATGCAGCGTCTTCAAACGCTCGATGGCCACACCCATATCGACTATCGGCTTAGTAAAGTTCAGCTCGTCTTTCGGATCCGTTGATGGTCGAAAGAGACCAGCAGCAATAGCCGAGTCTGACTTTGAGAGGACGCAAGTCAACAGCACGGGTATTACGCCGCCGACGAGAGTCTTGAGCTCGCGCATGTATTTTACTTCGTCAGCCGCTAACTCCTTCAGCAGGTCAGCGACGGTAGCATTAGTTGCGCGGCTCTTGTTCGTCCTTAGGCTACGAGCAGAGCGTAAGCTTCTACTGCGCGTATTTGGAACTGAAAGTACAGACATGAGATCATCATGTGTGGTGAGTCGCCTCTTCAACTGAGAAGAGACAGCTGGAAGCGAATTTGGGTCAAACTGATCTCTCTCCTCCGCATCATCTTTGTTCTGTGGCGGTGTTGGTGCGGACTTGCCTTGAAGAGAGCTAGGTGCAAGTGCCTGTGATTGCCCATCATCGCCTGCACTCATTGTTTCAATCGAGGCAATAGTTGAAAGTCGATGGAGGCCTGTGCTGGGAATGGGTCGTTTGCGGATAAGAGGAACAGGAGCGTTATTCCCAGATACCTCCGAACCGTCGGAGAAAGGCTGAGTATCTGTGTCATGATCATCTGCCTTCAGATCTTCATCGCGGGTGGTAGCCTCCTTTGCACCTGATGATGACCTGCTATACCTGTGTTCGCTGGACTTCTTCCTGTGGATAGGAGAAGAGTCATGTCTCAACTGTTTCGAGGAAGCTTTCCTCTCCTCAGATTTCTTACTCTCACTGGCGACTGAGCCTTCTCTACTTCGCCCATGTCGTTTGGATGTACTCCTCCGACTCTCGCTCTCAGGAGACGGTTCAGAATCTGCGTCGCGGTCGTGTTTGTCTTGCCGTTTATGCGATGGTTTCGCTCGGTTCATCCTAGTGTTCAAGGGTGCAGGAACTTCCACATCAGGATCCATGTCTTCCAGGAACGGATCAGAAGTACTGGAGAGCCAGGCCTCAATTTTGGAGCCCCTAGTAGGAGCCGGCTTGGGAGGCTCCGGTCGCGCGAAAATTTTCCGCGACTCATCCAGCATATGCACGAATATACCTCCCTTAGGGGGTTTGAGTGGCGCGCGAGACTTCGGCGGAGTCTTAGGGCCAGGGCCTCGTGCCCGCCTTCTGGAGAGTTCCGAGAAATCTGCTTCACTTGCTGCCCAATCCGCATCGTCCTCAGTCACTTCTCCCTTTTTCTTAGAACCTTCCAGCGGCTCCAAAGCGTCTCCACACTGAGAGCGATTTGCCGTCCCTGGCCGCGACGTAGACTTCGAAGACCCCTTCAGTTGCACGTCGTCCTCAGTCTTGCTCTCGGTCGCCGAATCCACATCTCGAGAGGCTCGAGATTTCCTACGCTCCTTGATAGTCGAGTCAGATGCGCCTCCAGCTCTGTCCCTGTCGCGGCTGCGTGAGGACGGCGCCGATCGCTCTTCTCCATCTTTCCGACCTTCCTTTCGCCCTAGTCTAGGAGATGGTAACGGATCGTTGACTGTATACTGGGAAATACGCTTCGGGGGCGGTAGTTTCGGCGTTGGGTTTTGAGTGGAAGACCGGTTCAGCTTCCAATGCTCATCGCTGATCAGGCGTTTTCTGGGAGTGCTGTTGCTGCGCTTCCTCGTAGCACCCTTAACGGGCTTGGATTTCGCTTCGCTCGTCGAATTTTCATCGTCGTCCTCGTAGTAAACAACATCGGTGGCAGTGATGACCCCGCCTCCCTGCTGCTGCCACTTACGGACCTTCTCCCGGACAGAATTGGTGTCATATACTCCCAGGGGCACTCCAATATCTAGAGGTTTAGATTTGGTTGGGGAAGATTTGGCACTTCCCCCACGGTTGGAGGGGCGATGCGGAGTGGCGGGCGTCGACGGCATCGATATCTGCTATGGTGAATGCTGATGATTAGCATATTTCTGCAGATAGAAGCAGCTATCCGAGACATAAAATTGCTGCCACGAAGTTCTGGAAGCTTAATGAGACGATTCGATGTCGAAATCTGGGGCGAAAAGAATGTTTTGATTTTTCCGTATTGTCTGAGCCAGAAGCGACCCCAACGACGTCACGCGGGCCGCTTGTTTGTTTATCACGGGAGGAGGGGGAAAAGGCTCACTCACTCACGGCTTGTACAAAAGCATTACAGGATTGGGATCTCAACTAGTTGCGGAAATTTGATCACACAGAACAAACAGAGATGTGAAGAATAAATAAAGAGTTTTGAATAAAGACCACAGTAAACAGGCGGTCAAATGATGGGGGCAGCAGACAACTGTAGGAGGAGACTTGTTAGCTAGGTATGGCTGTGGTCCGCTGCTGGCTGGGTCCAAGTGACGATGGTCAGCTGGGGAATGATATTTTGCTAGGAGTACCTCTCTACTCACAAGAACAATTGATGTGGATATATTATGAAAGCTCGACTGACCCTGGATGACAGCGATGTTGAACGAGTCCAAGAAATGACCATCTCCTCTGGAATTCGACCGATCCAGAGCTTTCAGCGTGTGGCATATCTCCCTAAGTAAGGTTCTAAAGTCAGTAAGGTACCTATTCATGCTGCCCGGGAAACGTGCAGGGTCAGCGCTAACTTTCTAACCAACCGTATCGAGGTGAAGTGGAACGGAGTAGATAAACTAAATCGTCATCTTGTCTAGTCCGTAGCAGCTCTCTTTTAGTCTTGCAGTCCAATTAGCTGGACTCGTTAGGTAGATATGAAGGAATCGTTGAGTTCCATTTGTTTCACTTGTTTCTGGCATTACTGTCATTCATGTGTATATACTGCCACGATTTGTATATCCACACCTAAGTCGGAGCCCAACCGATGGTTTGAACAATTCATGGCAACATATTCATCCATAGACTTTAATTTCTGTATTATTATCTAGAGTAATTGGCCGTAATCAGATCATGACAGCATAATACATGTGCCTCACATACAATTATAACTTGCTACTTCAAAATTCTCTAACGAGGTAGCTGTCCACGCGTCACCAAGTGGGTCTGGCAGGCTTGATCTCAATAACCTCGTCAGGCACATCGGTCGCATTGATTCACATCAATCCATATTCCAGTCAAGTCAGTATGTAGTCGTATGCTCCATCTGGAGTTCCGTTTGCGCAACGATGATTCCCAGGAAACCGTTGGCTGGGGGCGGGCGATCTCGAAAATTATCGAGCCTTTTTATCTGCAGACATTCGCTGCAAAGCTTTGAAGGCACTGGAGATCACCTTGATACTCTGAGAAAGATAATCTGCGACAGATATGAGTATGTATCGGCTCCAACATCCAGGCCTTGGAACTTACAGAAGGGGATAACAATCCAAATGAAGTTCATGAGAAAGTAGTAGATCCAAAAGTAGTACGCTTCAGGTCGGCAGTAAGACCGTCCATGGGCAAAGTGATCGTATAAGCTCGTGGCATAGTACAATGTATCGCCGTACAGATGGCTCATGCAGACAATCAGCTGCAGTGGATGACGGAGTGAATGTTGGTTGAGGATTAGGTATGCTACGAAGAAGCACAGAGGGCCCCAGATGAGCTACTAGCTGTGGTCAGTCGTCCTGAAGCAGAGAGCCTCATCTGTGTAGTAGGTTTTATGGCACGTACCACTGTCATCGTCTCCAGGCACAGAACCAACGTGTCCGAAGTCATATATCTCGAGTCAGATAGCGAATATTCCTTCCACAACTGACCGAGGAAGTCCTGCGCAGAAGCCACGTGGTCATGGTGGATTATGAAGTAGCCTTCAAAAATGCAATGTATTGTCCCAGCTGCTTGAGCGGTTAGAAGGCCATTGTCCACTTATATGCATGGTTTAGAAGAAGGGACCTTACAGAGAACAAACCACAGAATAGCAAACCGGTCTGCCTTTGGCAGACTTGGTCGTAAGAAGCTGACCCAAGTCAAAGTCCCTCCTAGAATGACTGAGGTTGCGATACTGGAGGTAGCGAGAAGGAGTTGGATAGAAGTCTCATTGGGAGCATATTGCTTAATATGCGCATCCAAAGGATAATAAGGATGAGAAGAGCCTTGACTACTCATAATTGCAAAAGAGTCAATGCGCGAAGAAAATTGACCTTGTCTTCCGGTGTGGGATAAATGTTGGACAGCCGTGACAGCTTGAAAGCAAGGATGGATATTCTGGCAACGTCTGCTTTTGTATATTCACTTCATGTTCAATCGCAACCTATGCTCAAAACAGCCGCCAAAAATCACAACATGACTTTGAAAATCCCTGAAGAAACAGTATGATCCTAGATGCGAGCTTTTCATGAACTTTAACTTGATATACCAGGTCCACCAAGATAAACAACTGGGTGGATGCTCCCACTTACTCAACATGGTTAGCCTTAGTTCCTCAGGCATCAACGCCGCCTCGGGTTTCTCCACAACGTAACAGGGAGCCCACTCTGTTCTCGGATCGCGCTTATCCTCCATCATCACCACTATAATTTGTCAGTCCTTTCAATCACTTCATGGAGCCTGGAAGCTCCTTGATCAAAGCGCATTGTTCCCATGGCTCCTGGTCCTTTTAGGAGAAAGCCTCTGGGGCTCGATGTACCCCGCAACCCTACTCCTGACTCGCCGCCTGGTCTTGCGGCGCTATTCGTCATCCGCTTTGATATCAAGGCTGGGTGAGCTTTACCATCAGCTTGCAAATATGTGGCCTACGGCGACTGACTACGAATAATGATCTAGATACGTCATTTCGTGGAAACGTACCATTCCTGGAGGTAAGTGACAGTTATCATCGAGAATTGGGAGCCACTGAAGCTGACGTATCCGGGTCTCCAGTCGAGATAGAAGGAGTTGTCGAATACAAATCGCTTCCATCGGGTCTTCATAATGTCTCTGAGGATCTAGTGTACGTTGGCGACCCGATTGATCGCCTTCTGTGTGCTAATCGATTGTCCTTGCCTAGATATTTCGTCCATGAACAGTATGCCGGTATCAGTTCATTCATCAACCAACCCGCGGATGAAGCAGAGCGCAATGCGCAGATGTTTGCCGTGGGGGTTCTGGTCCCCCTGAGTTTTGGTAGACTCGGGAAGAGTTGGAGGCACGCTCCAAGGCTAAAGGAATTGGCAGAGTGGGTGAGATCTCTCATGGCTCGCAGTACCGTCTGACATGCTTGATGCAGGACCTATGCCAAGGATATGACAAACACTCAACCTTTGTCGGACTACTGGGATAACTTTGAGATACGTGTGAACGATGCATCGACCGTATCTGGTGATTCTCCTCTGGAATCACCTGTCGGCCTCCGGTTCAGAGAGCGACCGGACAGCTTACAGCGTAATCGCGCATTCAGCGACGCAATAGTACTGGAAGCGTCCAGGCCGGCCCTAACGCCTTTCCATCCAGCGTCGTCACTTCCCGAATTTCTTGACTCTTTCGGTCCTTTGATATTCCCATTGTACAGAGCAGCATTATTACGCAAGCGTATTCTTTTCATGGCCGAGGCGCCTGTCCATATACCCTGTAACTATGGTAAATGGATCCGCCCCCCCTTGTTACCCGCATGTCTTGAGCGGTCTTTGCTAACAAACGCAGTATATGATTTGTCGTTGTTAGCATCGCTTCCAAATTACCTTATTCCACTGCTTCCACCTGGCGGGTCACTCCCTCCCCGACCTCGCCCGCTGTTCAATATCGGCATCCACGATATACCCTACCTTTCATCCTTCGTGAACGTCTCCGTCAAGACTGAGCCCGATGCGGCTTGGATAGCCTGCAGCACAGACAGTGTGCTGAGCATGAAAAGCGATCTCTTCGACGTCCTGGTTACTCTGCCTCCGCCACATGCCAGGAGCGCAGCCCAAAAAGTCTTCCCTAAAATCTCCGTCTTGCCTAACCGAAACACGCAGCATAACTCGTCTCAAGCAATCTACCTGAAAGCCACACAGCGCGATGCGCGTCGCTACACCATGCTTCGTAAGGGCTTACGCCACATCTCCTACGATGACACTGCATCTGGTGAAGACGAGGACTCCGATGCTGCGTCTACATACTCATCTAGTCCGGTCGTCGAGCCCCTGTCATGGACACGTCTAGCCTACACATCCTTCATCTGGTGGGCATCCGCAGGCGAGAAGCGGGACGGACTTACGGAAGAAGTGGAAGAAGAACGCCAAATTGAGCAAGATACGCGGCTCCTAGCCAGCATGGAAGCCATGCCGACGCCGTCCTCGGGATCTCTTGGCCGCCATTCGATGCAAGCAGAGGATGCTTCGCAACCTCCCGAAATCGCACTGGTCGCCTACTTCCGTCGCCTGACGACCCAGCTCTTCGTTACGTTGTCGGACGTGATTGCCCGTCAGGATAGCAGAGACGGGGAACAGGATGAGGATATCGGCGCCCCGTACGAGGATGAACAGGAGGAAGCGGACCCCGAACCCTCCATTTCCGTTGGCAGGGAAGATTCCCAAGGAGACGACTCGAGACGGCCCTTGCTGCCATCTGCCGCCAGATCTTCACCTGAGGATGACGAGCCGGTAAATATCACCTCCGAGGATATGACGGAGATGGGCCTCGATGTGTGGAGCGCTTCTGACCGTGTCTTTGTCGAGGAGTTGGTACAGTCATGGTGGGGTCGCAAAGCCTACGTTGATAGTGCGCGCATTAAATGCTGTGGGATTTCGATTGTCTGATGAGGCCGTTGATGACTGTCAATATTGGCCTCGTCATGGTAAATATCCATTTGCCTTTTGATATATGTACAACGTTAACCTCAACGGAACTTCAAATGATGGGAGAGGGAACTCATTCATGGTATTTGGTCGGGTTCGTAAAAATTATGTGCTGGTAATCATATAGCCACTGAAGCAGGATTCTATGTACCATAAATATGCTTGACAAAGGAAAATGGGGAGATCATGCAAATCTCAGAATGAATGAGAGGGTGACATGCAAGTAGAGCTCCGCTGAAACATAAGCAAACAAAAAGAGCATTTTCCTTTGCACCCCAAGTATCGTAAGCCGTCGTTATATACCAGCAGAAGAAGTCCCAAACTCGGGTCAGCCCATAGTGATCCAAAAGAAAAAGTAACCCCCAAAGGCAAGAAAGCTCCATTTAATTAGCCCGAGAAAACTCAAAATCAAACGCCATCTCATTTAGACATCAGGGTATCAAACGAAGATCGGTCAACAATCGACAACAGCTCAACTATGATGTGCTTCAGATACCAATATAGTCTGTTCACGTCACGGAGGGGAGAGGTTTACCGGCGGAACATCCTGATCGGAGCGCTTAGATCTCGTCGGACAGCTTTATCCCCGTCAGTCCTCACTGCCGAGTTCTGAACGCCAGGGATTCTTTGCGCACCCCGACCCGGTGTGACACCCCCTCCTCCGGAGCGAAGGGTAGCCTCATTGGCACTGGCGGATCTTTTCATTGTATTAGTCTTCCCTCTTCGTGCTCGAATTTGCGCTAGAGCTTGTTCTCTATCGATGGACGTTCCAGGTAGGGGAACAGAATGAGGAGCGAGCGCACCATCTGATTCTGTAGGTGCATTGCGATTATTTTCAATGCTGTACGGTGGTGAAGGGGAATCCCAAGGTACTCGGATACGAGCTGGGGATGGTTGGAGACCAGGAGCGAAAGGTTGGACTGAGTCTTCTTTAACTTGCACCATGGGCTCAAAGGACGTCTCGTGCCGATTAACATGCCTTTCTTCGAAAGGACTAACAAGCAACTGCTGCGCGGACAGGTTTTCGCGAGAGATCGACGATTCGAGCCCGCTTAAAGATGTGCCTTGGGGTTGCTTAGGAGGCGATCGAACTGGAGACGGAACTGATTTGAAAGTTCCCGTCACAGGCGAGAAAGTTATCAAGAGTTCCTCTGGTTCTTCTTGAGGCCTTGCCTGCTCCGTAGGTCTAGGCCCCTGGAACGGGTTGGCAAAGTGTGAATGATGCTGGGCTTTAGGGCCATGAATGTCATGGCGGTCTTCTTCGATGATGTTTTGAACCTTGTCTTGGGCTACGGCATCTTCGCAGGTTGGAGCATGGGCTTGATTGGTCTGTTCCTTTTCTTCTGCAAGCCTGCAGGAGCATCGTTTGAATTCGCATTCCATTCTCAGAAACTCAATCATGTCCTCGGCATCGAGTCTCATTTTTCTCTCATGCTTGAGCGTTTCTTCGAGGTCATCGATTATCCCTTGCTGAGTGTTTGTGGATAGTGTATTTTGATCACCTTGCCGAGGTGTCACATCTGAAAGTCTGAGTCTCTTTGGAGGAGTGTCTTGCGCCGTGGTCTGATCTGTAGATTCCACAAGCGGTGAGTGCGTCGATTCCTCAGCAGGCCGTTTTGGCCTGCGAGGTGCCGGGGTGAGCATAAACGCGAGATCTCCTTCTGCCAGCGACAGTCTTCCGATATTTTCGTTACCCATTTCTTTTGCTTGGGCCTGAAGGCTATCTGAGCGACGATTGGCTTCAACATTGCGCAAGCGTCCTTTGAGAACTTCCAGCTCTTCAGTCAAGCCAGCAAGTGCGTATGCTCGCTCAAATGCCTCTTGCTTCGCTTGTTCCTTCGCCGCTCGCTCGCAGAGAACTTCCTCTTTCAATCCCTTGGTTTCCGACCTTGCGTGTTTCAGTTCCTCCTGCAATTTTACCAAAGCGGATCCCGCGCGAAAAGCCTCTTTTCTTGCCTTCCTAATCTCTTTTTCAAAGACTGATCGTTCATGCGCCTGTCGTTCTTTGGCTACTTGAAGTTCTTCTAGCAATGATTCGAGTCGCTCGCTTATGCGACGTTCGCGTGATTGTGCCTCGGAAAGCTGAGCGGAGACACTAGCTAGAGCAGATTCTGCCTCTTCGCGACCGAGTAGTGCTCTCTGAAGCGCGGCCGAAGTACCTGATGATGTTGATGGCTGTGGTGTATTTGCCGGGCTGTTTCCACGAGACAGATTGTTCAAGTACGCTACTCTTGCCTGAACGTCGGACATCCCCCTTGTCTTCTTTCGTTGCTGTATATCCAGAATATCCGATTGCCGTGATGGAGAGCTAAGAATGATCTGTTGTTGATTCATCCGCTCAGGCGAGAGTGG